AAAAAGGCGGTCAGGGGTGTGGTTCTGAGGGCTTTAAAAGGAGAGTCTGTCTCTGTCTTTCTCTGCTTCCACCATCTTGCAATGTGAGACCCCTGGGTCACTGTTGCCACCACCAGATGGACTTTGGACTTTCCAGCCTCAGAAACTGTAAGCAATAAATGTCGTTTTTCTTCATAAATCACCCAGTTTCAGGTATTTTGTTATAGCAACACAAAAAGGACTAATACAGGGGGATTTTATTGAAGTACTGTTCAATAAAAAAGCAAGATACAGGAAAGCGTATAGAATATGATCCTGTTTTTATAAAACAATGTTCAAAAATCCCTGATGCATATGTATATTTGCATACAGTTTCAATGTGTCTGTCAATGCTTATTTGATTATGGAGAAAAAATACAGAAGATACAAAAATGTTAATATGGGTCTCTTGGGATGAAGAGGAGGGGTGGTGCAAGCTGACATGGGTGGTGTGGAAAGAGAGGAGGGAACCAAGCCCATCCTCTGCCAAAAAGCAAATTAAAAAGAAGAGCCCTGTGTAATGGAACTCTCTCATTTTGCAGCCTAGCCAGCCCCTCCCTCCCAATGCTTGACTTCTGGGACCCCCACGCCCTTACCGTAATTCCTACCACCCTATATGTGGCCTTCCATGTTTTCCCCAGGATTCTAGAATGGCGCTGTCAAGACCCTGAGGGAAAGGCCAGGGAAGACCAGGAAACCATGAAAACAGACCTCAGGGTCCAGAGTTCAGTCCTCACCCTCCTGGACATCATGACAAATTCATGGGAGTAAAGGAAGAGGGTACAAGGAGTATTCATTCACTTGCTCTCTCAACTGAAGTCCTCCTTCAGTCTCAGCTTAGACCCTATCCTCAGAGAGGACTCCTCCGAGTCCTGCCCCATCTCACTTACGACTCCTTGTTGCTTCTTTTCGTAGCGCTCATCACAGTTCGCCGTTGTTTTTATTTGTGTGTGTGTGTGTGTGTGTGTTTAATGTCTATTTCCTCAGTGAGCTATAAACACCACAAGGGCAGGGACCTTTTAGGTGCAGCGCCCAGTATGGAATGTAGCAGGGCTCAAGAAATGTTGGCTGCTTTCGATCATTTACTCGCTCGTTTATTGTCTTTTTCTGACCCACTCTTTTATTCATTCCTTTATTCCCTCATACATTCTATAAACATATCAACAGGCCAATGGCTTTTCCTGATCTGAGTCTTCTGATTTCTAGTGTGGCTTTCTGGTGCAAGGTGGGAGTGGGGACGTGACGGCAGAATTCCGGGAATGCATCCACAACTTGGGAGAACTGAGCTGGGTGAGTTGGAAGCTCTCCAGGGAAGGAGAGAAGATTCCAGAGGCTGGAAGTTCCAAGAGAAAGGTGCTGCAAGATCAGAGAGGATAAGGTTGGAAGTGATGGGGTGGAGGCTGGGCATAGCAGACTCCTCTCCATTCCCAATGCATGTCCAGGGTCTTCCCACGGCCAGGCCTTTGCTCATGCTGTTTGTTCTGCCTGGACGAGCCTCTCCCCATCTCCACATGGTGAAATCCTACCCTTCCTAGCAGGGCCAGCCCAGATGCTCTCAAAGTCTCCCCTCATTCCTCCAGCTGGAAGGGCCGCTCCCTGTTGCAAACAAACTCACTGAACACGAAAGCTGGACCTCCCTCATGGCGCTGACCACTTCCTGGCCTGTGCTGTGCTGTGGCCCCTCTCTCCACCCCTTAGACAGAGGCTCTGTCCAACTGTCCCCATATATCCCACAGGGCCAAGGGCCTAGCACAGAGTGGATGTTCAAGCCACTCTGGCCTAATGAATGAACTGCACTGTGAGTTGGGGAGAGGGGGGAAGCAGTGATTATGACCCCATTTCATGGATGGGAAAATGGAGGCACAGGCAAGTAGTCTGACTTGCCCTTGTTCCCCCAGTGAAGGAGTAGCAGGGCCTAGACTGAGCCCTGCATTTCTGGTCCCAGAGGCAGGGCTCTTTCCAGGGCAGCTTGGTGGAAGATGGGGGTGGGGTTGGGGGTGGGGGTAGCTGGGTCCTGAGAACCAGCAGGCTGGGGAGATTTGGAGTTCTGATGGCCAAGTTCAGGGAAAGCACAGCTGGGGAGGAGCCAGGGTATTTATTATGCTTGGTCTCCAGCTCCAAACAGAGCTGATGGATGGAGCCTCTCCAGTTCCTATAAACAGCTCGGGCCTCCCTCCACTCCACCCCTCCCCATTCTCAGCCACCACAGCCCCAACTGTTTCCAGTGAGATGGGGGTGGCGGTGAGGACAGATAATCAAGGGAGGGAAAGGAGAAGAGATGAGTGGGGGAGGAGGGAGCAGAGGTGGAGGGAGAGGGATGAGGATAAGACAGGGTCCTAGAGGCACGACAAACCTGGAGGGAAACGAAGATTCTTTTCTTGTCTCCCCACTGGCCACTGTTGCCCCTGGGCAGCCCACACCCGATGTCCCCCTCTGTGTCCTCTCTGTGTCCCCTGGGTCTGTCTGAGAAGCTGTATCACACCGTTCTCTGTCTGGGGGCCAGTCTTGATCCCACAAGCTTATAAATCCTGGAGGGATTCATTCATGAAATGTTTTCTTTGCTTGCGGCCATCTGCATAGGCTCCCAGGCCCTGGGACACAGAGAGGGCTTTGGGAGCTCTTGGCCTGGTAGTAGATCGGGCAGAGATCCCAATGCTGTGGCTGAGGGCAGCCCAGGGCTGTGGGCAGCTGGAGGAGGGAAATCCGGGCAGTCTCCTCAGAGGAGGTGATGCAGGCAAGGGTTGTAGAAGGAGTAGTTGCAGGGTGGGTCAGGGTGGGTGAGACATTTCAGCTGAGGCAGGAGAGAGCCAGTGATGGGGAGGGTCAGGAGGCAGTGCAGCCTAATGGTTAAGACTGCTGGCTCTGGAGTGGGACAAACCTGGGTTCAGCTCTGGAGTCCCAATTTCTCATCCAAAATGAAGATGTCAACAATAGAAATTTCTTCAAAGATTTTTAGGATTAAACATGACAATGTACATTACATGCTCAGCACAGGGCCACCCTGGAAGGGCTCGATAATTGTCAGTTCTGAGCACATTGCAGGAGGTGGGGAGAAAGTGGGGGCTGGAGGGCAGCAGGGACCCCACCTCCTGGAGCCTTGTGCACTGTCTCAAGGACAGGGGCACAGAAAGCAGACGGCGGATCCCAGATCCCAGGGGACGCGGCCAGCACAGGGGGACTGAGGGGGTGAGGCGGCTGGTGGGGAACGGGCCTGTGCCTGGCAGATGCATAACAGCTCACTGAATTGAGTGGGTGGGTGACCTGGCACCTCAGGCTGTCTGTGGCATGGGGCGGGGAGGGCCTCCCCACTCCCTGGAAACGGCTGAGAGCTTGGGAAGGCGGATGCTCTGATGACCTAGTTGGCAGCTGTGTTCATACTGGCTGAAAACAGGAATTTCTGCCTCACTGGGGGTCTTGGCCAGGTGAGCGATCTCCCCTGTTTGCCAGGAAAAGGGGTCAGGGGCCTGGTGTGCAGCCCGCTGCTGCCTTCCCCTCAGGCCTTCACTGAGCTCCCACTATGGGCCAGGGGGCCAAGCCACTTGCCTTCTCACCCCAGCTCCACCCCATGCAACAGGCCCTGAAAATTTTCCTTTGGAGAGTAGGAGCCGGGAGCAGGAACTGGGAGGTGAGAGGTCACAGAGCAGAGAAGGATTGGGCTGGAGAAACCTCCAGGAGGCAGGGTTGTCAGCGTGGGGGGCTGGGTGGCTGCTTGGCCTGAGGGACGCACCCACGGTGCTGGCGTGGGGAGCAACACTGAGCTGGAGCTGGGGGAGAGGCAGGTCGGGAAGAGGTTGGCACCTACAAAGGCGGCATGTCTGGGTGCGGGCTGCTGAGAAGGGGGGGCCACGAGGGGACAAGCGGGAAATGCTGGGAGGGCCAGAGGGATCACTCCTGCCCTCTGGACTCTGCCCCAGGCCCCTGGCCACCTCTCAGGGCTCACTCTTCACCTCCACCCCACCCCAGGCGAGTCGGCTCCTGTCCCCTACCTCAGGCCCCCTTCCCTAGTCCCCCATCCTCCAACTCCCATCTAGGCACTAGGAATGCTCTTCTTCCAGGTTCAACCTTGATCTGCAGCCCAGCTGCTCACTAAATTCTCCAGCACCCAGGAGACCTTTAGCCCTCTAGCTGGGGAGGCCTCTGGTAATAGGGCTGGACACTCAGAAGCGATGGGGCTGGACACAGAGATGTGGGCCTCACCCTCAGAGCAATGGGGCGGCTGCAGCAACGAGGCCTGGGATGAGTCCTGGTGATCATCACTTAGAGATGCTTGAGGAGGGGGAGCACGTGGAGGAGCCAGGGAAGGGGTGGCCTGAGAGGGGAGGCAGCTTCCGTACGGGGTCACAGACGCCAAGGGAGGCCTGGGGGCAGGGGTTTGAGGTCTGAATAGTGTGCTGAGTCTGGTAAAGGACACGCTGGGAGACCTTAGCAAGGGGAGTGAGGGGCTAGGAGGGGCTGGAGGTAGCCTGGGGGTGGGGTGAGAGGGGGAGGGGAAGCTACTTTACCAAGAAGTGTGCCTGTGAAGAGCAGAAGGAAGGGGGAAATGATTTAAGGGTCTTTTTACTATTTTTAGGATGGACAAGACCTGAGTCCCACTGAAGTCTGAGAGGAACAGGCGGGTAGAAAGGGAGAGGCTGAAGATAGAGAAGAGCAGGGGAGTGAAGGAGAGAGGAAGGGGCGAGGGTGAGGTCCCCCGGGAGGCAGCACTGCCTCTGAGATGGTGCAGAGAGGGGTGAGACAGAGAAAAGGAGGTGACACGTAGCTGCCGAAGGAAGGAGATGAGTGAAAGCCATGAGTTCCTCAGTGCTGGGGTGGAGAGCATGCTTGTCAGCTGAGTGTGAGGGGACGGAGGTGTGGCAGCAGCTGTGATGGTAGCCAAGGCCCCAAGGTCCAGGGTGGCGATGACCCAGAGCCTCAGTGTCTCCCCAGGGGTTTGCCATAGTGATACTGAGTACCGCAGCACAGAGGAGGCCAGCAGGCCACAGTTTCTCCAAAACTATTTAATACATTCATATGGGTTATACAAAGAGCTGGTCCCAAGGCCCGGGCTGTGGCCTGTCTCCTGGAAGGTGACAGCAGCATTGTGTAGTGTTTTCAAAGATCAGGCATAGGGGCCACCACCTGGGCCTCCAGGCCTGAGGAAGAGTGTCGTGTGCAGTAGCACCTGTGGTCGTGATCCCCTCCACGACTGGGTCCACCCGGCTGCCCCACGCACCACCAGGGCCTAGCCCCAACTCTGCCCATTGACTCTCTGAGTCCTTTACCCTCTCTGGGACTCAGTTTTCTCATCTGTAAAGTGGACCAGGTGGAGTGGCATTTTCATTTTCTCACACATTACTGAGCGTTAATCATGAGCCAGACCGTGGGCCAGGACAGGTAAGAGGATGAAGACAACATTGCAGGGCCTTGGGCTGGCCCCAGGGCTTCCTTTCTTCCCAGACAGCTCATGAGTCCATGGTATGAGGGACAGGGGATCATCTGGGTGGGTCTTTCTACCTATTTTTCTGGAGGAAAAATATACCTCCATAAAGAGGAGCAGAAAGTCTGGAGTCAGCATCATCCTGTGACATGATAGCCGAGACACAAAGAAGTCACTCAGGCCCAGCCCCCATTGTCACCCCCACCCCAAATAAGGTCTGAATCTACTTTTTTCACTGACTAGAGCAGCTCTGAGAAAGCCCCATTCCCTTCCTAAGCCTCAGTTTCCCTTTCTGTGCAATGGGGAGGTTGGACTCAATGGTCTCAAACTCCAGGCTAGTCTCAATAGACGGAGAGGGAATGAAAGAACACAAGAGTAAGAAGAGAATATGGAGAACCCACACCAGTCTGCAAAGGAGGGATGAGGGAAACTGAGGCAGAGAAAGAAGAGAGGAGAGTGGGTACGCACAGCACAGGATACTCCAGGCCCTGTTCAAGTGATGTGCGGCCATTCCTGTCCACCCAACAGCCCACAGCCCCCGCAGTAGCAAAGCTTAGGCCCTGAAGACTGAGGATGTGGGTTTGTATCCCCGTTGTGGCATTTCTTAGCTGTGGGGCCCTGGAGGGAGACTTTTGGAACTTGGTTTCCTTTTTTTGTAAAATGGGGATAAAATACCAACCTCCAAGGATTGTTGCACAAAGGCAGACACAGGCTTGGATTTGCATCTACAGCTGCCAAGCTGTATGCAAAACAGAACCAGATACCTAAGGTTCTAACTCCTGGCTCAGCAGCCAGGGTGGGGGAAGGAGTCAGGCGTTCGGGCAGTACTGGAGTCAGTGTATGCAACATGTGAGTGCCAGGTAGGGAGAGTCTGTCCAGAGCAGGAAATGGAATGGTCCAGCACTGGCTGGAGCCCAGGGTGACGACCTCTTAACCAGACCCTGCTGGAGCTGCCGCAGACTGCCTAATAAATAGCATTGGATCCAAGGCATACTCATGTGGCTCCAGTTCTCTCTTCCGGTCACAAGCTCTTCATTTTCCAGAGAAGCTGAAAGTCATTATCAAAAGATGTGACAAACAGTCTGCTTGGAAACGCCTCAGACAAATCCTCCTGGGGTTGGCCCTCGCTTGCCCTGGCGTGGCTGGGGCAGGACTCTTCACACTGAACTGGCTGACGCTGCAGAGCTCTGGAGTCCTGGATTACGCACCTCGAGCCCTGATCACCTGTGTGGCCACAGCACAGCTCTGCGGCCACTCTCCTACCAGACTGGGAGATGCTTGAGGGCAGGAATGTGTCTCATTACCAGCATCCTTAGAGCAGGGTGTGGCACAAAACAGATGTTCAGTGAAGATTTGTTGATCCAGTGGTCAACATTACCCTCTGCCAGCCCTGAAACTGCCCAACTTCCGGCTTCCATGGCTGGGCCACATATGCAGCCTGGAAAGTGAGTCACCCACCAATGCAGCAGGATGCATAGAAAAGAGCCCTGGGCTGGGATTGAGGGACCACGGTTCTTGGACTCTGGCTCACTGTGTGACCTTGGGTCAGTCCCCACTCTTCTCTGTGGCTCAGGCTCCCCTATTGACCTGGAAGGGTCTCCCAGCTTCTTTAGGCTTTATACTGTTGGCTGAACTTCTGCCGGCGGACACAGCAACAGGTGGCCAGCGTGGTGAGGAGGATGGCAGAGACCAGTGTGAAGGTTAGGATGATGACGAGGTTGACATTCTTGAGCTCCCCCTTCTCACAGTCCTCAGGACGCACTTGGCTCAGGGACACCTCCTCCTGGGAGCCAAAGCGGCAAATCAGGTCCTGGGTGTCGTCCACATCCACACGGCCCTGGTGCAGCTGGGCAGCCAGCCAGCCATTGCCACAGCAGCTGAGTGGATTCCCCTGCAGGTAGAGGCGCCGGAGGCTGCTCTCAAGGCCACCCATGGCACTGCCTGGCAAGAGGCTGAAGCTGTTGTTCCGCAGGTCCAGCACCTCCAGCGACACGGCCTGTGTCCAGGCAGGCAGGTGGCTAAGGCGGTTCTCAGCGAGATTGAGTTGCTTGAGGCAGCTGAAGCAGGGCAGGTCCACCTGCAGGACCGCCAGCCCATTGCCCTGCAGTGCCAGGACCTCTAATGAAGCCTCCAGGCCTGCCAAAGCCCCAGTGGCCACATCCAGCCCAGGGTTGGCAGAGAGGTCCAGCTCAGTAAGTGGGGTGTGCAGGAAGGCCCCTGCCCTGAGGATCTCCATCTCATTATCCACCAGGTTCAGAATGCGGAGGGAGGAGATGCCAGAGAAGGCCACACAGCCTGAGGGTCCATGCTTACCTGGTCCCCCACAAGGGCTGACCCGGTTCCCCTGCAGGTTGAGCCTCTGAAGGCTGGCCAGGCTGGCAAAGGTGTACGGGGGCAGGTCCTGCAGGGCATTTTCCTGTAGGAGCAGTGTCCGCAGGGACCCCAGAGCTCTGGGGCCCAGCTCCAGTGCCTCCAGAGCATTGTGGCTTAAGTCCAGGAGCACCAGGCAGGGCAGTGAGCCAGAGTGCCGGGCCTCAAAGGCCTGCAAGCAGTTCCGGCTGAGGTTTAAGAAGCGCAGGGAGGTCAGGTGCTCAAGAAAGCTGTCAGGGACAAGCTCGATCTCATTGTAGCTCAGATCTATGTTCAGGAGCTGGGAGAGGGGGTAGGTGCTGGCATTCTGTCTGGGGTTGGAGAGGGGCAAAGCTGACCAGCCCTCAGAAGGTGCATGGATGCCCTTGCTGCCCTGGGGCGGCCCTGAAGGGAGCCGGATGAGGTTGTTGGACATGTTCAGGTAGATGAGTCTTGGGAATGTGGCCAGGTCAGGGAAATGTAGTAGTTTGTTCTCGTGCAGGTCAAGCCAGGAGAGCTGGTACTCAGCCTGGACTTCCGGGGCCGTCTGAAAGGCCTCGATGCTGTTGCAGCTCAGGTCAAGCACCCGCAGCTGCTGAAGACTGAAGTCGGAAATGCAGGTGAGGGAGTTCCTGGAGAGATTGAGGTGGGCCAGGCGGGGCAGGGCCTCAAAAGCACCGTCTTCAATGTCCATCAGCACGTTGCTGTGCAGATCAAGCCGCTCCAGCGCAGGCGTGCCCAAGAAGGTATGGCGGGTTAGGCGCGTTAGGCTGTTCTTGGCCAGTGAGAGGGTGCGCAGGCGGGGCGCCTCACCCAGCAGTCGCTCCACCAGGCCACTGTACAGGCTGTTCCCAGACAGATCCAGGGAGATCAGGTGCGGAAGGGGGCCCAGACCACCGGCACTCAGCGCAGTGCCTGCTGCCAGGCGGTTGTGGGCCAGGTTGAGGTGCTCTAGGTGGGGCAGAGCCTGGAAGACTCCTGGCTGGAGGAAGCTGATCTCATTGGTGCTCAGGTCCAGGTGACGGAGTGCTGTGTAGAAGCCCAGGGGTGAGGCCAGGATACTCTGCAGCTGGTTTCCAGATAGGTCAAGGGCCTCCATGTCCAGTGGGAGCACTGAGGGGAACTGGAGCAGGCCAAGGCCCTGGCACAAGACCTCCTTGTCCACCTGGGGAAGGAGGAGGGTGGAGAGAGTAGCTGGCATTAATGGGTGAGGTAGGGGGTGGAACCAGACACGCTTCTCTAGGTAGGATTACTAGACCCTGGACAGGCTTGCGTGGGCCTCTCCTCTGGGTTCGACTTTCCTCCACTGCAGCCTAATCATCCCATGTCTGAATGACCCAATCCCCCTCCTTGCCTCTGTCTCTGGCACCCAGTACAGTGTTGGGTATGATGGATGCATGGGAGGGATGCAAGAAAGGTTTGATGGGCAGACAGGTGGAGAGATGATTGACAGACATAAGGACAAGTGAACTAACAAAGAAAAACCCTGCACTGATTGTTAGCCCATTTTACAGGAAACGGAGCCATATGTCACCCAGAGTGACCCAGAGCCAGTGAGCAGCAGGGCCAAGCTGGGACCCAGGGCTCCTGGTTCCATATCCTGGCTCCCTTCTATGGGCCCAGACAGTTAAGTTCCCAATGTTAGACTGGAAACCACAGTGGGAGAAACATTTCCAAAAGGGCAACTGCAATTTGTACTCCTGTCATCAGCTTTTATTTTGGCCTCCAACGCTCAGCTCTTGCACAAGCTCTCATTCTGTGGGGCAGAGCTCTGAGTCCCTGAGCCTGCCTTCTTTGCTGACACTCCCCAGATGTGACCTTCTTTCTGCTGCTGCTACCCCCACCCCCCACCCCCATCCCCATCAGTGGCCTCACTTCCCATGGCCTGGTCCAGCATTGGGCCCCTGGAGGTGGGGGAAGGGGAAAAGATGGCCACGGTACCAACCCACATTCTTTGGTGACAAGACAGATTTTGCTGTGTGACCTCCATCATATCACATTACCACTCTGGTTTCTTATGCAGAAAATAACTCATCCTTCCCCAGACCCACTTAGCATCTTACATTTTACTTAGCACTTTCAGGCCTGTGGTATCATTGGAACCTCACAACAGCCCGCCTGTCTGATATGATCCCTCCTAGGCTCAGAGAAGATAGGGGAGACTCCAGGATCTCTCAAGCCAGTGAGGAGCAAAGCTGAGATTTGAACCCACATGTTTAACAACCAAAGGCCCCATTCTTGCCCTTCCATAGAATGTGCCTTCTGGGGCCAGAATTCTTTCAATGCATATGTAGGTCTCCCTTTTGAATCTTTCAGGCCCCCAGGAACTCCAGGCTTTCCCAGCAAAGGGTCTGACCTCCACAACCACCCAGCTCAGGCCTGGTCCTACTCCCAGCCTCTTGGTCTCCACTGACCCTTTCTGACCCGTCCACCTGCCAAACACCTGGCAACTGCTCAAAACCTCCTCTCTGACTGTTGCATCTCTACTTAAATCCCTCCAGGGCCCTCAACAGGGCATTCAAGGCTGTGGCCCTTGCCAACCTGTCCCCTCACCTCCCAACCCACCCCACTCCAGCCCACATGCAGTGGCTACATCTGGTCACCGCTCATCACACCCTCCCATGCCCACCAGTGGGCCTCCTCCCTCTGCTACTTATGCCATCCCTGACCAGATCTGCATGATGAGCTCTTCACACTGAGCCCTAGAGTCTCCTCCACCAGGCAGCCTTCCCTGACTACGCTTCCTGTCTTGTATCCCTCTGCTACTTATGCCATCCCTGACCAGATCTGCATGATGAGCTCTTCACACTGAGCCCCAGAGTCTCCTCCACCAGGCAGCCTTCCCTGACTACGCTTCCTGTCTTGTGGCTTTGCCCCCTGAATTATGTCTGTTTGTGGAGGGACCAGCTAGACAGTGAGTTCAGAGCAAACAGGGGCTGGTTAGATTGATGTGGCTGCTTTGGATCTGACCCACAGAAGTTGCTCAGGAATTTTTTTAATGAATGAGAGTCACAGACATCGTCGGTTTAGTAGAGGTCTGAGGCACTGAACCAATCACCTCTCTGAAATCAAAGAAAAGGAAAGATTCATATATTCAGATTAGACTCAAAGACCTTTAGAGCAAAAAGAGTCCAGCCCATCCAACTCTCAGATGGGGAGACTGAGGTCTGAAGGTGGCAGTGAATTGCTCGAGGTCTCAGTGAGCCAGTGGCTGAGCCAGCAGGAAAGGAACACAAGTCTGGACGTTCTTCACCTGTTTCAGCTCTGCACTTCTTTCCGAGAGCCCCAAGGTGCACAGGGATGAGGAATTGAGCTGCCCAACCTCAAGCATCTGTGTGACTCTTCCTACTCCATGTAGTGCAGTGACTGGCCCTACCACCTCCAGGGGAGGCAGCTTCATCAAGACCTCAGGAGACCCAGGGAGAGCCTTGCTGTTGGGCATCCAGGTAAACCAGAAGCCTACCCTGGCCGCCTTGCCAGTCCTTGCCCCTTCCTCCCTCACAACTTCTCTGTGTGCTGGGGCCACTAAGCATAGCCTCCTCGCCACTATCCTCTGCTCCCTGGATCATCCTGTCTTAATGAAGAACCAACAAAACAAACACAGTGACTGTCACTATGTGGCACGTCAGCCCTGTGTCAGGCTCTGTGCTGAGTGCACAGGTTCCTTGCTTCCTCTAATCCTCCAAGGCAGTACTGACCCCATTCCCATTGTACTCCCTAAGGAAACAGGCTTAGGGATGTGAGCTGCCCAAAATCAAATAGTCAAGAGCTCAAAGCTATCATTGGCAAGTTCTTTCCCTGCTGGTGCAAGCTGAGCTCTGACCCCTGGGCCTCAGCTGGCCAAACACTCAGGTCCATTGCTCTAGCATAGTAAATAACACCATTTACTGAGCATTTGTGGTATGGGGAGAACCATACCATACTTCACGTGTTACCCTACATGCAAACCCATAACCCATATCGTGTCTGGATTGGCAAAGGGTTCCCGGGGCACTAGTCCCTGAGACTTGGGTCAGAACACAAAGCTAACTAAGCCCAGAGCCTGAGACTTGCTTTTTGCCCAGATGCCCAGAACCCCTGCTCTAGGGTTCTCATGGTGGCTGCTGGTGGGCAGGGCTGCACTGGGTGCCCAGCTCTCCAGTCTAGTCTTGGAAGGGGCATGAAGCCAGGCAGCTCTCAGAACTCCCTTTCTAGGGCCCCATGCCTCCCTCAGCTCTGAGCTCCCAGCACTGACTGGCTTCTGGGGGAGGCATCTTGGGGAAATCGGCCCTCAGCCAGAGTTTAGAGCTTCTACCCACTGTCTCTGGGATATCAGGATGTCACTGCCCAGCTTTCTTCTTAGGAGGGAAGAGGACTTGCCATCCGACTCCATTTGACCACCTGCACACGGGAGGGAGGCAGGGGAAGAAGAGGCACAAGGCCGTGGACAGCATAGAGAAGAGATGGGTTTAAATCCTGACTCTGTCATTTCCTATCTGTAGGACCCTGGTGGGTCATGTGTCCTCACTCTAACTCCCATGTGTATTATCTTCCATGCTAGTTCAGAAAGTGCTCTCCTATATACTTCTCACTTGCCCAGACTCCAAAGCTCACCCAGCTTCCCTCGGCCTGCAGGTGGCCAAGGAACTTCATCTCTCCAAGCCTCAGTCTCCTCGAGGAAGAAAGTGTGTTTGCATTTGATAATGCCTTCCTGCCTTTTATTCTGGGTTCTGGGAATCTCAGAAGGACTCTGAGGAGTGAGAAGACTGGTGGCAACAGCAGGACACTGCAAGTGCTGGGGAAGAGCTGCTGGCAGGCAGCTGCCAGTCCTTCCAGCCTCCTGAAGCAGCCCAGGTCCAAGTGGGGCTGCTGGAGGGCCTGTCCTTTCCCCAGTCCAGGCTCCAGCCTTGACCTCAGTGACTGCCTAGCCTTACAGCCTAAGTGGTCTCTTTTCCCTGTATCACACAGGGTCACAGTAACTTTAGGACTAGCTAGTTTCCTGGCTTGGGGCAGGAAAAAAGAACAAAAATGAATCAAACCTGACCCTGCTCTAGAAAAGTTCTTTGTGTGGCAGGTGAGACAGGCTTGGACCCATTCACCAACAACCCTACATGCTTGGTATGCTCAATATTGAAATAGAGGGAAGCTTGGGGACTGCAGGAGCCCATAAGAGGGAGCAACCAGACCAGGGCAGCCTGGGAGGGTCAGGGGAGGCTTCCTGGAGGAGGCAGCATTTGACTTGAACAGTGAGAGGCATCCCAGCAGGCAGGCCCTAGTCAAGAAGCCCAGTTAGAGAAGGGAATTTGTCCCTAGGAGGAACCAGTACAGAGGTATCCCTCCTAGCTGGCCCATCTCAAATTCCCATACATAACACACATTCTAGATCCCCCAGCTGGGACCACTGCCCCCTGTGGGGACAGCTTGGGAGAACAGAGTCCAATATCAGCCCCACTGTTCCCAGCTGAATGACCGTGGACAAGTCACCTAACCTCTCCAAGCCTCAGTTTCTTTCTCTGTAAAATGGAAATAATAGTGCTTACCTGGCTGGAGTGCTGGGTAAATAAGGTATTTAAACATTCTAGTAGGAGCTCATTAAATGCAAGGTACATTCCCTTTCCTCTCCTGATTCCTCTAACTTCTGGCTTCTGGGGTTGGGGCAATAGATAACTTAGTGTGGGTGGTGGGGGGTGGCTTTTACCCTGCCTGGGCAGGGCTTCTTACCATCTTACAGGGCACCTTGTCTTGGTGCTGGGAGGCAGCCAGGCCTATTGTCAGCACGGCCAGGGGCAGCAGGATCTGGTGGCTCATGGCTCTGTGTACGGCAGGGAGGAAAGGGGAACACTGTAAGACCACTGGCTCCTTCCCACTGCCAACCCCCACTACTCCCACCCCATCTGTGCCTGCCTCCAGGAAACCCCAGACCAGAGCTGGAATACAGGTGCTGTGAACGAGGCAGGGTGCACTATGGGCAATGGAGCTGCAGCCCATCACAAAAAGCCTCCAGTGCCAACCCAAGGGGCTGGGCCATCACACAGGGCAAGCAAAAGTTTCACAGCAGTAGATGACTTGGTTAGATCTGGATTTTCAATAGACCCCACCTGGTAGAAGACAGCCTGGAGGGGATGCGAAGGAGGCAGAGGAACCCTAAAGGCTGCCCTGGGCCACGCTCAGGGCTGGGGGTAGAGGGAAGTAGGGAGGTGGGCCTCTGACTCCATTTCCACCCAAGCCACAAGCAGGTCCCCCCATCCCAGCTCCTCAGGCCCTAAATGAAATCCCTTATTCTACGCCTCTCCCACCCGCCACCCCCCCCCCCC